GTGACAATATGCGTTTAGTACTACAAAACGCATAATAAATAGCGGCGCGCACCAGGGCAGCCGGTGCGATCATGCTTTTTTTGCAATTCCGTTCACCGAAAGATTGCCTACTAATGATTTCACTGCTTTGCACTTTGGTCTGTGCAAAAATAGTTTAAATGCCTGGTTCTCAAGTTGCGGAATTTCCTAATAAAAATTTCATGCAAACGAGATAATAATTTCTTTATCAGAACTTTTACGGGGCTGTACATGGTACCCAGGGTGCATGAAAGTTGAATCCAAATTCGCGAGGTTGTACGTTTGTAGAGGAGATCACCCCAAAATTTCAGATTCTGAACTTCCGCGATCCCCGAGATAATAACTTTCTCCGCCGAAACTTTCACGTGGCCGTAAGTGATACTCGGACGCGTGGGAAGTTAAATTTAAAATTGCAAGATTGTATGTGGACAGAAAACATCACCATAAAATTTAGTTTCCTGGCTTTTATGGTTCCCGAGGTAATAATTTCCCCGCCAAAATTTTCAAGAGTCGTTGGTGACACCCGCAGGCGCGGGAATGCTGAATTTGAATGGGCAAGGCCGAGCGTGGGCAAGGGTTATTACACTAAAATTTCAGCTTCGTATATTCAGTGGTTCCCGAGATAATAATTCACTCGCAAAAATTCTCATGGGGCCGTTCGTATTACCCGCTGGTAAGAGGAAGCTGAATTTGAATTTTCTGGGTCGCGTGTGGATAGGGGACACGCCCATAAAATTTCAGCCTTCTAGCTTCCGTAACCCTCGTAATAATAATTTACCCGCCAAAACTTTTACGAGGACGTACATGTTACCCACGGGCAGGGGAAAGCTAAATTTAAATTTCCTGGGTAGCACACGGGCAGAGAACATGCCCACAAAATTTAAGCCTCCTAGCTTCAGTGGTTCCTGTGATAATAACTTTACCCGCCTAAACTTTTATGGGACCGTATCTCTTACCCGCGGGTACGGGAAGACTGTGTTCAAATTTGCGGGGTCACACGTGGGTAGGGGACGCTCCCCTAAATTTTCAACTTCCTAGCTTTTGTGGTTCCAGAGTTGAAAGTTGCGGACAAGTTGCTGCGGACAGACAGACACACACACACATACGCACACAGACAACTCCGTGACAACATGCATTTTGTACCGCTGTTACACAGCAAAAAACGCATAAAAATGAAAATTAGCAGGCAAAACGTCTGCTGATCGACACTGCGTAAAAAGCATGATCGCACTGGCTACCCTGGTGTGCGCCGCTATTTATTGTGCGTTTTGTGCTATGCAACAGCTGCACAAAACGCATATTGTTACGGGGCTGTCTATGTGTTGGTATGTGTGTGTCCGCAGCAACTTATCCGCAACTTACAACTCGGGACCACAAAAGCTAGAAGCTGAAAATTTTGGGGGATGTCCCCCACCAACGCGTAACCCCGCAAATTTAAATTAAGCCTCCCAGTACCCGTAGCACGTACGGCCCCGTAGAAGTTTTAACGGGTAAAACTATTATCACGGGAATCACGGAAGCTAGAAGACCAAAATTTTGTGGACATGCCCCCTGCCCACGTGCGACCCAGAAAATTTAAATTCAGCCTTTCCCTGCCCGCGGATAAGACGAACGGCCCCGTGAAAATCTTGGTGGGTAAATATTATGTCAGGAACCACGAAATCCAGGAAAATTTTAGGTGATGATCCCAGCCTACGTACGATCTCACAAATTCAGATCCAGCGTTCCCGCATTCTCGGATATCACCTATGGACTTGCAAAAATTTTGGCGGGTAAATTATTATCTCGGGAACCACGGAATTTAGGAAGCCGAAGTTTTAGGGTAATGAGCCCTTCCCACGTACGACCTTGCAAACTTAAATTCAGCATATGCCCAAGTATCATTTACAGCCCCGTGAAAATTTCGGTGGGGAAAGCTGTTATCTTTGAAATCACAAAAGTTGGAATTTGAAATTTTAAGGCGATGTTCCCTGTCAACGCACGACCCCTGCAAATCTAGATTCAGCCTTAGGTGCCACGTACGGCCCCGTGGGAGTTTTGGCAAGGAAGTTGTCTCGTGGAACTACAAAAGCTGGAAAGCTGAAATTTTAGCGTGGCATCCCCTGCCCGCATACGACTCCGCAAATTTTCAGTGTTCCTGTGGAAGTTTTGGCGGGAAAAATCATTGTCTCGAGAGCCAGGAGAGTTAAGAGGCTGAAGATTTTAGGAGAATGTTTTTTGCCTAATCAGGAACTTCACAAACCTCGAATCCAGTCCCGAAATGTGCCGATGTCTCACGTACGGCCACGTGAATGTTTTGTCTCAAAGATTATTCGAGAGCCAGAAAATTAGGAGATTGAGATTTTGGAAGGATTTTCACCCTTCGAGGTTTCAAGTCCAGATTTCACGAACCAGTCCGTGAAACCTTTAAGTATTTTTCAACCTTTCAATTATTTTTACACAGACCAAAGTGCGAAGCAGTGAAGATCATTAACAGCCAATCGTTCGGTGGGCGGAATTGCGCAAAACGCATGATTGCATGGGTTGTTTTGGTGGGCACTGCTATTTATCACGTGTTTTGTGCTGTATAACAGCATTACAAAACGCATATTGACACGGGGCCGCCTGTGTGTGTGTGTGTCCGTAGCAATTTGTCCGCAACTTCCAACTCGGAAACTACAAAAGCTAGGAAACTGAAAATTTAGGGGAATGTTCCCTACCCACATGTGACCTCGCAAATTTAAATTCAGCCTCCCCGTATCCAAGGCCAACACGTACGGCCCCGTAAAAGTTTTGGGGGGGAAAATTATTGTCTCGGGAACCAAGAAACCTAGGAGGATTAAATTTTATGGGCAGGACCTAGCCCACCTGCGACCCAGAAAATCTAAATTCAGCTTCCCTTTGCCTGCGGATAACACATACGGTCTCGTAAAAAATTTTGGCCGGGAAAATTGTTATCCCAGGAAACATGGAAGCTAGGAAGCTGAAAATTTATACATATGTCTCCAGCCTGCGTGCAACCCAGAAAATTTAAATTCAGCTTCCCGTGCCGCGGATAACATGCACAGCTTCATAAAAGTTTTGGCGAGTAAATTATTATCCTGAGAACCACGAAGTCTAGGAAGCTGAAGTTTTACGGCAATAACCCCCTGTCCACGTACGATCTCGCAAATTCAAATTCAGCACTCCCAAGCTCTCAAGTACCACCTACGACTCCGTTTTAAACTTTTGGCAGGTAACTATTACCTCGAGAATCACGGAGTTTAGCAGGCTGAGGTTTTGTGGGTATTTCTCCTACCCACGTACCACCTTTCAGATTTAAATTCAGCCTTCCCGTGCCTGCAGCTATCACTTATGGCCCTGTGAAACTTTTGGCGGGTAAATTATTATCTCGGGTACCACAGAATCCAGGAACCTGAAATTTTGACGTACGACTACGCAAATTCTTATCGTCCCCTTGAAAGTTTCGGTGGGGAAAATCATTATCCCGGGAGACAGAAGAGCTATGAGGCTGAAATTTCAGGAGTATGTTTCCTGCCTAAGTAACGGCTTTACAAACTCGAATTCAGTTGCTAATTATCCCGAGGTCTCACGTATGACCACGTTAAAGTTTCGTCGCAGAAATCACTCGTGAGCAGAAAATCAGGAATTTGAAAAATTTTCACCCTTCGAGGCCAAATTACACTCAAGCAATCCTAGCGCCCAAGGTAAGGTCCCCATCAAAAATAGCAGTTTTTGCGATCCGTGTATTAACCGGATCCGAGCGAAACGGGACCAAGCCGAATGTTAGTAGCTGCCGTAGTGATGCAATTTTCGAGCATTGTAAAGAACAGGGAAGCGGCTGAAGGCTGGTGTTTAGGTGGGTGGTTGCAGGGGTTTTTGTGGAGAAAGCGGTTTGGGTGGTGAGTGGGGGTCATACTTAGATTGAGCGCTGTTTCATCATGATGTCGGTTTCAGTAGTGATTGGGAGTGGGTTCTGTCCCCAGGGGGACGGGGAGGGGAGAGGGGTGGGGTGAGTATCTCGACAGCTTGGCTTCCAAAAGGCGGTTTTCGAGCCATTTTCTGAGCTGGGAGCGTAGCTTCGTTGCTGGAGCTGTTGCACATCGCAGCCTGTGATGTTCTCCATCCTAGTCGGTGTTGATGCACTGAATCCCATCCCCCACGTAAGCCTGGTAGCCGCGTACGGGCCCACCGAATTTTTTTCCAGTAAGTTCATAACTCGGGAATTTGCGAAGCTAGAACGCTCAAATCTTACAGTGATGTTCGCTGGTATGACCCCCCGCAGTTGCCCTAAAGTCAACGAAGTAGCACGCGTAGCACTGTTTGTCCTTGTGTGCTTGCTTTCGCCCGACGCATCGGCCGAGAATGAGCTTGAACAAGGTACTACAAACTCGCAGATACTTAAAGTAAAGATACGGTGTTTCCCCTTTCCGTTCCCCGCCTCACCCTTTCCTTTGTATCCCTTCTCTTTCTCACTCCGACCGGCTTTCTGATGCTGCTTTTTATTTAGAGATTTTTGTTCCAAAATGGCTAGGAAGCTGTTACGTCACAAATCTACGGTTGTTGCGTCTTTTAGCTTTTTAGGGCGACGACTCGGTGCGAAGAAATTGATCGCAACGAGGCACTGCAAATGCTTTGCTGATGGCTTGACCCTGAGGGCTTCCGGAGAAGACATGCATGCCATTAACGGGTTTTATGCGTTTGCCACTCCGATAGACTTGAAATGCTGAACAATAGCTGCGCGATTTCCACACTTCTCCAGCCCTTCCTTGACCTGGAATCAGGCTTTTGCTGGCGATCTGTACATTCGTTTCTTCTGCTAAAAGAATTATTGGCTTTGCCAACAGAGCCACTGGGCAAGCCTTCAGCTGCTTCGAGCTCCCCTTGATGTCATTTTATCCCGAGCATTCGCAGTGCTGGATTAGGATAGGATCTCTGTTGCGGTAGGCTATACATGAAGATTTTTGCAGGATTGCAGATTGGATCTGTTGTGTTGCTGCTAGATGCCCCTACCACCAGCACTTCTGGCTCGTCTCAAACGCCGAGGAATTGTCCAAGATGGTGAGTGGAGCCGAGAGGGTAAAGAATTTCTTTTCCAGTCAGCCTTGTTTTGTTTTTATGTTTCTGCCTTTAGCAGACCGGAAATCGTTGAGGGACATTTCTAGAAGTCAGTCAACAAAATCCGAGAAGAAAAAGGCCTTTAATACGTGCCTAGCTACCGGGGCATCCACGTCATTTTGAAGTCGCAAAATCTCAAAAAATTCCATGCTGAAAGGAAGGGCTGTGCAGTGGATGTATGCTCAGCGTGGGTGAACTTTTCAGATGCATCTGAGGAAGTGATTGCGGAAAATTACGATGCCGACGTGCCGGGCGCTGGTGCCCCCGGAGCGCGGAAAAAGGCCGAAAAGAATGCATCGGGTGCGCCCGGTTGCCCCAATAAGTGGAATCCGTACCATTACTGCGTGCAGTTCTGCTACGATCGCTGGAAGGATGGGACCAGCGAAAACAGGTTCATCGTTGCCGGATTGTTTTAG